GCACGCGCACGTACACACACACACACACACACACACACACACGCATGCACTCACACCCTCGAGGGCCGGGAGAAGCCACGCAGAAAGGAGGCGAGCTGCAGGTGGGCACGCTGGAGCCTCGAGCCTGGGAAGCTGGTGGGAGAGAGAAAGATGATGAGAGGGAGCAGGGGAGAGAGGGGGCTGGGAACAGGCCTGGGGGAGGCTGGCGTGGGGAGTGGGAGAAAGACAGGGTGCTGGTTTCTGGCTGGAAAGAGCTGAAAGGTAGATCAGACCCTGCTGCCAACTTGTCCGGGGGCCCACCGCTCCTGACCTCAGTCTCCCTGCCTGCCAAACCAGAAGATTGGCTGTAACCGCTGGGCTGTCAGCTCTCCCACAGTGGAGACCCAAGGTTCCCCCCTCTTCCATCCACCTCCACTGAGCCACTCCTGGGGCAGGCCCAGCTCCCTGCCCATCTTTCTCCTCTTCCTGTTGGCCTGAGGTTGCCCCAGCCTCCTCTGCTCTCTGCCCTCCTGGGACACAGCCTTTGTGTGAGCTTGGTGGGATCTCAGCTGAGCTGAAGACATTCTCCACTCATTGCAGATGTGGTGACTCGGTGGCCCCCCCAGAAAAGAGAAGGGTGTCCAGGCCTCTGACCTTGCTGAGGGCGTGATCAGAGTCACCCGGAGCCCTTCAGGTCCAATGTTTTGGGGCGTGTGGAGGGAGCCTGCCCTTCTCCGTGGGGGTTGATGGGCAGACTCAGCCCCAGGGCCCTTGACACATACCTGACCTACCAGCCAGGGTAGCCTCTCCCTGTGCCCCTGATCCTTCCCAAGGTGGAGCTGCTAGGTCTGGAAGGGACCCTCTGCCCCAGTCTTCCCACCCCCTTCTGCTCTGAGACAAGTCATACCAATGAAGCAGATAGGCTGGAAGCACAGAGAATGTGGGGACTTCCTCTGGGGGCAGGCTGCAGAAGCCTCAGACAAGGGGCTCCATCAGCTTGTCAGGCTCCTGGGGCCCCGAGGAGCAGGCCGGGGAGCATAGGGAGAGGAAAGGCAGAAGAAACAGGCCAAAGGAACATTCTAGAAGGGAGCCATGCCTGAGCCCTCAGAAACGCATCTAGGGGAAGGGTCTCTAGGGGTTCTGGGGGTGGGCCTGGCCTGTGCTGTGGCCGTGCCACTGCTCAAGGCCAAGGCGAGGGCCCTGTTGTGGGGGAGGCCACATGGGGAGGCACACCCCCTGAAGATGGAGCAAACGTGTTCTCGGGGCACCTGCTTCTCTCCTCCCGCCCCGACCCCACACCAGAGCTTGACCTTGACCTTGGCTCTTAGCCTCAGACTTGGGAACAAAGGAGAGAAGCTGGGCGGCCACCACAGGCCCAGAGAAGATGGTGGTCCTGGCCCAAGGGGGTGTGGACAGCGTCTGTCTGTCCAGAGCAGAGTGCACCTCAGAAATGTCTCACAGGACTCCGTACACAGGGTTCGAAGCCAGAGTCCTGAGCCAGTTTGTGAGTGGCACAGTGGAGGCTGAGATGGGAGAGGCAGGACAGGCCTCAGCACTGGGAGGCCCCTCCCCGGGGAGGCTCCCTCAACAGAAGACCCTGTTCCTGCCAGAGACATCCTTTGGTCCCCCTCCTCCAGTGTAACAGAGAGAAGGAACCAGTTGGAAGGCCTCCCTCCCCTTGGCCCCCCTCCAGATCTCCAAAATCAATTGTCATCCAATCCTAGGTCCTGGAGAGAAAGAGCCACCAGGGTCATCACTGCCAGGCTGGTCTCCCACCCTCTGTTCCAAGGAGCTCCAGGGGCCCTCATGTTGTCTGTTGCAGTACTGAAAAAGACCATCTTTAATTTCAAAAGTTTGGGAAACACAGGTTCCTTTACTGCAGGACTTCTCAGAACCTCTAATGGGTCAATGAATACCTGTATCTCCAAGAGGGAGATAGAGTGTGCAGTGTTTCCCAAACTTAGTTGGCCATGAAACCCATGAAACCTCAGTGATTCATGGAATAACTATTCATCATTTACACAGTTTGGGAAGCACTGCTAAAGAATGCAACTTCCCAGCATCCTTGACAAAAGATCCCTTCAGAGGAGGTCCTAAGCCCATGTGGAGATTGTGCGATGGGTAAGCCCTGCTTCCTGCCACTTGACTGGCTTTGGGCCCTGGCAAGAGATAAAGGCCTAGGAACCTAGGGGCCTGTAGACTGGAACGGTGACTCCCTTCCCCTGAGGCAGAGGCTCTGACAGCTCAGCGGGGTGCGAGGGGGCAGCGACTTCAGGGCTATAGAGAAGAGGGGATAGCCACTGTTGCCCTCACTTTGTCTTAGAGAGCATTCGTGGGTGCTGTCCCAGGCTGCAGAGCCTGCTGCCCCCCGTGCTGCCTGCCTTCCCCCCTTGCTGGGCATCCCATCCCCTCTCACGGGCCCCTTCCACGACTATCCAGAACATACACATCCCCAGGTTATGGTCATTTGGCAGAGACGGGGCCCCCGGCCCAGCTGCAAACTGGGTTAGGGGCCCGGTCTGGAGGTGACATAGGTGCTGGGCTGGGTCCCACGTGGTCCCTCCCTGCCTTCAGAAAGCCTGGGGCCTGGGCTCTGCATCAGCCCCTGAGACCTGCCAGCTCTCGGCTTTGAAGACCGGAGAGTGTGCAACCAAACGCAGCTTCAAAGGCTCCCTGAGGCCTCTTCCCAAACCTCCTCCCACCCCCAACCTCGGCAGGCCCACCCCTCCACTTGCCCACCACCCCCACAAGGCACACACTGGAAGCTTCTGTAAAGACCCTAAACAGGGTTAGAGCAAGAGATGAAAACAGGGGAGGAGCAGGGAGGGAGCCCTCAGGAGCAGGGGAGAGGGAGAAGGGAGAACAGGAACAAGAAGAAGGGAGGACGGACTAGGCTGTGGGAAGGGGGGCAGAAGGGAAGGTGTGGGGCAGAGATGGTGCGGGCCTTGAGTTAAAGGAAGGAAGTGAGGGTCAGGGAAGGCTGGGGTGGCTCCCCTTCAGGCAAAGCCCCTTGCTGGCAGGCTCGGCCCTGGCCAGGCTAAGACGGAGGGGCACCCAGCCCCACCTCAGGCTGATGGCCTCCCAGCGAAGGCCTGGGTTCAGCAGAGAGGAGCCCTCCAGAGAGAACCCTCATTCCCAGAGCCTCCAGCCAGGTGGGGTGGTTGGTGCGGGGGGCTGCCCTGGGTATGTCCCAGCGACCATCTGCCGTGGGCTGGCCAAGGTGGTCTGCGGAAGGCAAACCCGCCTCCTTGAAGGGGGATCTCAGAGCACAAGCAGGAAGCCTGGGTGGGGCAGAGGCAGCAGGACAGGCCGTGGGGACCAGAAGTGACAGGGAAGGGAAGAGTCCCCATTGCTCTGCTTCCCAAGTGGCCCAACACTGAGGTCTGCCCACCTTCCAAGTCACCCTCAGGACACTGGTGAGGTCTTAGAGAAGAGCCTGAGCCCCCTGAGAGAGGGGATCCCAGCCGGGGCTGGAGGGGGGCCCCCGGATATGCAGGGGAGCTAGGAGGGTGCTGGAGATGGTGTGTGATATGAGGGTAGATGGAGGAACCAGCAACCAGGGTTGAGGGAGGAGGCAGACAGAGCTGGAAGTGACAGTTGCCAGAAAAGGGGGGAGCTGGGGTCCTTGGAACATGGTGAGGGTCTGGGGGGGCGGGGCATGGGCAGAAAAGCTGGAGCCTGGGAGCTACCCTGAGGCACTAGGAGTGTGCGGGCACGGGGCAGGGAGAGAGAATGGTGCCAACGTGTGAGGGTGTGTGGCCAGCTCTGGGGAGGGGGGAGGCTCCTCCCACTGGGGCTGCCTGTTGCTCCCGCCCCAAACTGGAAGCCTGGCACCTACTTGATGGTCTTCTTCTCGTTGCGCCCACGCCCTGAGTCTGGCGTGCCCACAGTCTCCAGGGAGTTCTTGTAGCGTTTGCCCTGTGGAGATAGCACCAGGGTCACTCTGGGCAAACAGCACTGCGCCCTCCCTGCCTCCCCAGCACAGGCCTGGGGAGGGGAGCAGGCTGGGACCCAGCCTTGGCCACAAGGTCCGGGGGCCCACGTGTGAAGGTGTCACCACCTCACGTGGGGGGCCAGCCCCACTGCTATCTGTTCACTGGCTAGTAGCTCCTTGGCCCCATAAGACTCGAGGACCACTGCCGCCCCTCAGAGGGTACCCCTGACCCCCAGGGATGGGGCCCCTCCCGGCTGCCTGTCTCCTGGGGCTCTGGCCCGGCTCCCAGAAACACATCTCCCTCTGCCACGGACAGACGGCTCTCAGGCGCCTGGCCACGTCACACTGGCCACGTCACCACCCCCAGATGGTGGGGGTGGCATCCTGCAGGGGCAAGGTTGGCAGTGGCCAGTGACGTGAATGGCGGGGGCAGGGAGAGGGCCCTGTGCCCAGTCCGGCCCAGGACCGTGTCCAGCGTCGTCTGGGGGCTCCCTGGGGTCCTCCTGCCTTGGGCAGTGAGGCAGGGCAGGGCCTGAGCACTCTTCTTTACAGGAAGGCAGTCTTAGGAAGAGAGGCTGCCCACTGGCACCCCAGAGTTCCTCACACCAGCATGAGCGGGGAAAGGGCACGGCAGGCCGGGCGGGGGCTCCAGGTCCCCTGGCCAGAGGAAGGGCCGTGGCTGCAGTGGGGACCGGGCCTGCCGCTGGGAAGGTGAGCACCATTCACCTTCTCGTTTGGGTTTCTAAATTTAGCTCATGCAGAGCCGGGCACCATTAACATTCCTGGCTGCCACGGAGCGAGCTCACGCGCACCCACGGGCCACGGGCCTGGGCCAGGCAGCGCGCGTGCGCACACACACACACCCTGACGCGAGCACACACATTTCCCCAACATCCCATCCTGTGCTCCCACACCACAGCACAGCAGCCAATGATTCCACCCTCCCTGAAACAAAGTAAGAGCCGCACAGCCGTGTCCCCGACACTCCCACCAGTGGCAACCCCTTCCAGGGCACAGGAGCCGCCCACGGAGGGAGCCCGGCAGCGGTGAAGCGGCCCCCCAGAATGCTGTGGGTGGAGGGGCAGAGTCCTCACTCCACCTCCGGCGCCCCCAGGTCGCAGGGATGCCAGCAACGCCGGACCCTCCCCGTGTCACCCTGGTCAAGTCCCTTGTCCTCTCTGACCTTCTTTTCCTCCTTTCCAAAAAGGGGTGCTGTCATCGGATGGGCCCCAGGTCCCTCATCCTTCTAGGCTCTCGTCACAGATATGTCTAGCTCTCTCCTGACTTACTTCAGGCCCCTCAACCCCCGAGGGAACGCAGCCCGAAAGGGCAGGGACTGTCTGGTCTCTAGGTACCCAGCAGTTCTCAGAATGGATAGCATGGGAGTGCCCCCCTAGTGCCTCTTCCCACCAGGGTCTCAGCCCCGGGGTTTTGCCTCCGAGCCAAAACTTTAAGAATGAAAAAAAACCAGAGCTGTTGGATCCTCCGAGTCCACAAAAGCTGCCCTCTCTCAGCTTCAGCTCTGCTCTCCCCCATCATTACCCAGAAGTTCAAATCCCCAATAATGCCCAGTCCGGACTGGGAAGATCAGGGCCTGGAGCTGCCCCACGCTGGCCGAGGGCCCTTCTCTGGGCAGGACACAGGGAGGGCCACCCCCACCAGCTCCCCCCAAACTCCCCCTACTTCAGGCAGTGTGGGGCAGAGAGGACCTGCTGAGGGCCCCCCAACCCCACCTCTCAACCCCTCTCCTCTTTCTCCCTAGTCTTGGCAGGAGAACTTGGCCTAGGCAGCACTTTCTTCTAAGGTGGGTCAGCTGCCCCTTCCCCAAGGCCAGGTATGGCTGGGTGGGCTGTCCAGGGCCTGCCCCTCTTCCTTCCACAGCTCAGGGAAACTTCCCCTCTGGCTACAATGATCACTCTGCAGCAGGAGCTGCAGGGCTGGGGTGGGGGGGTGTGGACAGGAGCCAGGGCAGGACTTGACTCAGGGCTGGGGGGGGCAGGGTGAAGTTAAGGGGGCAACGACAGGAAACCCAGGCAGAGTCCAGGAGACACTGGGCGGCTCAAAGGGAACCCAATACCACCAGCCTGCTTCTCAGGGAAGGGGTTGGCCAGGCTGATCTGGAAAAAGCCAGCTGGAGATTAAGGAAGTTATTAATGTTTGGAAATGGGATCTGGGCTGTCAGGGTATCACATCACTGCTGCTGAGGGGACAGGCAGGCAAGGAGAGCCCAGGAACTGTGCAAGGGGCATGTGAAAGCCCCTCCCGGAAAGCACAGAGACAGCCCAGGCAGAAAGCCCCCCAGCTCCTCCGATGTGGGGGGCAGGGGAAGAGTTGTGGGAGGGTTGGGGGGCTGGGCAGCTCAGGGGAGAAAGTCGCAGGGGATAGACCAACCAACTGTGGCTGGGACCCCTGGGAAGTTTCTGGCTGGAGGCTGGGAGGAGGGGCTGGGGCCAGGGGCCGTGCCTCCCGCACTGGTGGGGGGAGGGGGGTCCCCCGCCTGCTACAAAAGCTGTCATCTGTGAACACTGGTCCCCAAGTGAGTGGGGTGAGGGGGAGGCTCTCACCACAACACACACACACACACACACACACACACACACACACACACACACTGCGGCACTTACCAGGAGAGGCCAGGACAGTGGGGATGAAGCAAGTGTCAGCTCACTCAGGTGGAGATCTGATGAGATGAAGCACATCCCACCATGCAGGGGTGAACAGACACACACGCACTGCACCAATACCCTCAGAGTTGGCACACTCAGCACACAGACCCCCACTCAAGGTCACCAGCAGCGCCTGCTCATACACCTTCCTCGGCCTTCAAATGCGGACTTGAATACAGACAGCCGAACAGACCCTGCAACTAGACGCACAGGGCTACGGTGCGTGTGTGCTCAGCCCCTCCCACGGCCTCTGAGGACACTCGCACACACAGGCACGTGGCCAAGCCCCCTCCTCCACCTCCTCTGAAATTCCGAGACAAACGCAGACACTGGGGATCCAGGAACAATGCAGGGCGGCCAGCCCGGCTGGCTCCACGCACCTGCACGCCCAGAGCGGGGCCCAGGTTACCCATGCACTCACACTCGGGGCACATGGGGCCGAGTTGGCCTTCTCCATGGCTCCTCCCCAGGGAAGAAGCTCCCTGAAGCTGAATGTCCCAGGATGGAGAGCCATGTTCTCCATTCGTGAGTCTGCCTCTCCTGAAGGAGACATGCTGGGTTATCTGCCCCTTCTCTTCCATAGGATTGCAGCTTGAAGCCCCCAGCTACATGGTGCGCACGACCATGACCCTCCCCCCTCGTCCTTAAGGCCCCTCCGTGTCAGGGCAGGGAGAGAATGGGGGTTCCAGATGTGCCACCTGGCCCCCACTCCCACCGTTCTCAATCTAGGGGTTGGAGGTGTCTGTCAGGGACGCTTCTTCACCTAATCCCAGGAAAGGCCCAACATCTGGGACACCTCTGGGTCCACCTCTGGGGGTGCCCCACTGCAGCCCCCAAAGCCCCCACTGCACTTCTGGGCTGGGGCAGCAGGACTGGGGGTGGGGGGATGGGGAGAAACGGGGTGGTGGTCTAGCCTTGCAGCCGGCCCCTCAGCCCCTCTCGGGGAGCTGCGGGCTGCGGGCGGGGTAGACCCCTCAGCCCGGCTTCCCCTCCCGGGCCTTCGGGTGATGAATGTCCCTCCTGATGGTCTCGTTACTTATTGATGGCCTAATCCTGCTCGTTAATTCCCCAGCCCTCGTTAAAAATGAAAAGAAGCCGTTTGTGCTTGTACAAACCCCAAGAACCAGGATGGATGTGCGGGCGCTGGGGGGTGGGGCGGGGCGGGCGGCGCCTCCTCATTGGCCAGGAGACTCGGCTCGGCCACGCCCAGCCCTGGGTTGGGGTGGGGCGCCAGGCACCGGGGTGGGAGGGGGCCGCGGCGATTCTCAGGCTGCGCTTGCGGTTCTTCCTGCGGGAGGTGGGGCGTGTGCGCGTGTAGTTGCGAGCGTGCGAATGCCCGGGAGGCTCACGTCTGTCCTCAAATGTGTCCCTAGGTGTGTGGTTCTGGGTGTACACACGACATACGGGGCCAACACCCAGGCAAACGCAGTGCGTGCGTGCGTGCGTGTGTAATTCCTACGGAAATGGGCCTGACTACGTGAGCAGGTGGGTCATCTGCGGGCGCCCTTGAGAGGGTTCGGGAGCCAGTAATTGTGGGGGGCGGGGCGCAGGGCCAGGCCCCGCCCCCGGGGCCCTCAGGAGCCTCACCAGTTTGCGCTGACACCAGTGGCAGAGGCCGCAGAGGACGAGAGTGATGCTAAGGCTGACGGTGATAATGGCAGAGACCAGCAGGACATCGCGGGTGGGCGCCCCTGGGGAGGACACACACAGGTCAGACCCTCATTGGCCAGGGCCGGCCACCCTCCCTCAGCCCAGAGACCCCCCCCCCAAGCAGTTACCTTACCCTACCACCTGGCCCCCCACACTGGGAGTTCTGAGCCACAAGTTCCTCTCCCAGCTAGGCTTGCTGGCTGACCTGGGGAAGTTCCTTCCTTTCTCTGTGACTCAGTTTCCTCATCTGTAAAATGGGGGCACTGTGCAGGTTGACGTTCCTCCCACACCCTCCCTGCATGGGCTCTGTGTGAGCCCAGAGGATCCACACCATTGCCCAAACTTGACACCTCAAAGGGAGAGGCCAAGTGTACCCTCTGCCCAGCCAGGCCTCAGTGGACACTTTTACTTCCCCTAAAAAAGCCACTTCCTCAGCACACCCTTCCTGCCCAGCACCCTTCCATCTCCTCCAATACTCTGAGCCACAACTCCAGCCCCATTTGCCCAAAGGGCAGCATGTCTGAGGACATTTGCCCCATGGGCACTAACAGACCCTCAGAAGTGTCTGGCCCAAACTCAGCGGCAACATGTGTAATCCAAAAGGGAATTTCTGTAACCCTCTGACCAGCCCTCACCCCCTTCAGCTCAGCTTTCCTTGGGCTGGAAGCCCACCCAAGTGGCCTCTGTACACCCTGCCCTCCCAACCCTTAGCCTCCTGAGCTTGCCCCGTCGGCTGTAGCCCGGGCGAGAGGGGGCACCAGCAGCTACCGTTCCAAGAGCTCAGGGGTCTTATACTTCAGGAGTGGCAATGTTGACAAACCTGGCTCGGGACAAAAGCCCCAGGTTTCTGTGCAGATCCTACCACTTGCTTGCTGTGGCTTTGGACGAGTCACAGAACCACTCAGTTGTCTCCTGTAAATGCGGATTAAACCTCCTCCCTGCCTTCTCACAGGTGGTTGCAAACATGAGCCCAAACCAAATGCAAGGCAGGCAAAATTTCACCAGAAATTCTCGTGTGGGGGAGTGAGTCGAAAGAGAGCAGCATAGATCACACGTGCACTGTAAATATGTATGCACTAGGATGCGTCCTAAAGGCAAGTAGACGCTGTTTATTTACAGAGGAGACTGCGTGGGCTTTTCGGTGCCAGTGAGGGTGGTAATTAAGAGTTGACGATATCTGTCTGGTCCCGGTTCCTGCGGTTTTAGCTTCTGGGCTCCCAGTATCTCTTGTTTGGTTGTGGGGCCTCGTGGAGAAGGGCCCAGCAGTTAGCCCAGCTCTCGGGGCCCTTGGGGCTCCCTCCTACCGCCATTCTAGTGTTCTGGGCAGCCGGTTCACCACCTGCTCTCCCTAGAGTCCTGCTTGGGCCCCACCTCTCCCTTCCCAACTTCCTGAGCCTCCCAGCTGTGGGAAAAGGCCACCTTCGCCTGGTCCCCACCAGTCTACCTGCCAGGCCAACTAAGCTTCCTCCTGTCCTGAGTCTGTAGCCTCCCCCTGCCCCTGCCCCCGCCCAGCCTTGCACCCAGTTCACTGTCACCCTCAGGGCCCTTAGCACCCAGGAGCTCTGACCTGGACAACTAGCAGACACCAAGGACCTGGTCCTGCCCTTCCCTTCCTGGGGTGGAGGAACACAGCTCTGCAAGGAAAGGCCACATCTGCCAAATGGGAGGCCTCCATCTTTAACCTCCAGGCTTCTGAGGGAAGGGGGCAAGACAAGTGGGGAGAGTGAAGGCCATAACACCACAGGTCACGCCCCCAGCGCCCCAAGACTCAAGCCTGTGGCAAAGAGAGGGGCAAATGTACCTCCCAGGAAGGGGACCTGCACTTTTTCCAGCTGTCTCCACAGGAACTGCCCCTGCCCCACTGGAAGAGTCTGGGAGGGGGGTGCTATGTGGGCTGGAAAAGCAGGTGACCTCACGCTTTCCTCTGTTGAACTCACTTTTAAATAAAATAAATTCCATTTTTGGTCTGAGCTTTCTTCAACCACTATCTGTTAAGAATCTAGCATGAGGCACGTGCGACAGGCAAGAGGCAAGATTTCAGCTAATTATTTCTTAGCATGTCAGGTGCCCCAGAGCCAGTGAGTGGCAGAACACCCAGCCCGGGGCTCCAGACTCCAAAATATCCGAGAAAAGACCAAAGTGTGAGTGCAGTTTCTGCCTCTTCATAGCTGAGTGGCCTTGGACAAGTGTCTTAACCACTCAGTGTCTGTGGAGACAAGAGTAGCACCCCCCTCCATGGGGTTACTGTTAGCACTCAATAGTTACGTATTATGATTAAAGTTAGTGGTGTTAGTTTTCCCCCGACCATACACAGAGGGCTCTGGGAGCACAAATGAAGAAATGACTGCTGGACTAGAGGGCTATCTGGGAAGGCTTCCCTGAGGAGGTGGTACTTGGTGTGGTCCGGGGATGGCTATGAGGTGAGGGCACAGGGAAAAGCAAGAGCAAAGGCAAGAAGTGGGGGGGGGCAGGCATGTTGTTTGAGGAGCTGGTCTAGGTTAGTGGGTGTGAAGTGGAAGGGGACAGGCTGGGAACGGAGTGGGGCCTGATGGGGAAGGGGCTTGTCTATCAGGCTGAGGGGCCTGCTGTGTTCTGCAGGACATGGGAGCCATGGAAGGTTTTTGAGTGGGGGAGAAGCAGGACCAGAAGGGGCGTTAGCAAGCTCTTGGTCTGGTAGATGTGGTGCTGTGGTAGGAGGCGATGCTCCAGCTGGGTTCTTCTGCCCCCCCACCCTCTCCACCCACCTGCCCCTCCACATCTTGGCCATGGGGCGATTCTCCAAGGGGTCTACCTCCTCTCTTTGCCAAAAAAGTCCTTCTCAAAACTGCTCCTCAACCCCTGCTGTAGGTAGAGGGCCCCTGAGGACAGAGCCTGTCAATCCCAGAAGCCAGTGGGCATGCTAAGAAGAGCCCCCAGAGATCCAGGGAATGCCCGTTTGAAACAAGTAGCATGCTGAGGGCAGGCAGAATGAGCACTGGGCTCGGAGTCTAGGAAAACTGGTGGAGGCCCTGTTCTGGCCACTAACCAGCTATGTGGCCATGAGCAAGGCGCTCAGCCTCTTGCATGTCAGCGCCTTCATCTGTGGAAGAGCTGACCCTTCCTCTGATGATAAGCCAGATGTTCCAGATGCTTCCCACGAGCTAACAACTCAGTCCTCACAACAGCAACTGAAGTAAGCATTACGATTGTCTCCATTTTGCAGATGGGGAAACGGAGATGCAAAGGTGGTCAAGAACCTTGTCCAAGGTCATTCCGGTAGTAGGTAGTGGAGAAAGGGTTCTAACCTAGGCAGTCTGGCTCAAAGTCAGCTCTCTTTGCTTTGTGTGCTCTCTGGAACTGTTAGGGATCCTAGGGATTTCTCAGGGGCCACAGAGGTGGATGCCGAGTAGATGAGGCTGGGGTCCCTCAAGCCCTCTTCCAAAAAGCAAGAGCATTTCCCTCTTTCACATCTTGGGCTTTCGTAGAAAGTTCCATTTGAAGAAAGAGCTGTGTTGCTAAGGCAAGTTGCCCCCCTAGATTGGGACCCCCAGGATCTGCTGCTGTCAGCTCACAGGCATGGAGCCCAACCCCTCCCCGCCAGGCCCCGGCTGTCCACCCACAGCCCTTGAAGCCGGGGTAAAACAAAGGCTTGTCACTGCAAATTGCCTTGATGTGGTGACCGAAAGTGACACGGTGTCCTCAGCCGGCAAGGGCTGTTGCCATCAAGGGGGTGCAGGCGTGTGTCCTTGCCTGCCAGCCAGAGTGACCCCATTCCCAGAGCACGGATCACTATGTTTGGGGCTGGAAGGGACCTCTGCCGTCATGGAGTCTGGCCCCAGCGATGCACGAACCCTCTGGTCAGCCCTGTCTGTGACAAGTCACAGGAGACAGGCCCTCCACCAACAGGCATGGTTAGGGAGGGTTGCTGTGCCCCGTGCTGAGCGGAGTCCGTCTCCCTAGAACTCCTCCCCACCCCCGTCCCCCCTTCGCTCCCAAGCTGGCCCTCCGGAGCTGCTGGGAACACGTTGGCTTCCTCTGCCACATGACAGGCCTCTAAATCCTTGCCGACAGCTCTCATGTCCCCTTCTAGTCTTCTCCAGGCATAGACGCCCTGGCCCTTCTAACCCTTCCTCCAATGACATACATGGTTTCAAGTCCTCTTAGCGTCAGCATATTAACATTGGGGGAAAGAAAATATCATAGCCCTCGTCAGCCTTTGACAGGGCCGGGTTCCACAACCTATCCTTGGGCAGAGGAGACATCCCGGGTCCCCGGGGTGAGACACAGACAAGGGCAGACAGATGACACCGGGGGCCCTGGGTGGCAGGGGGAGGCAGGAGCGGGGAGAGCCAGGCCTCGTGGGTCCGATCCAGGGGTGTCCTAGGAGTGAGGCACAAGCTCGGGCACGTGGCTGTCCCTCTGCCCAGGCCTGTGGTGGGGAAGTTCGGCTGACCCGAGCTCCAGATGAACGCCGATCCGGTGGGGGTCCTGTGCTCCTGACCGTGCCACCAGTCAAGCAGCTCTCGGGGTCAAGCCTGTGTGTTCGAGGAGGCAGCCACCTCTGAGGGTGGACGACATGCTCAAGCTCATGCCGTCTTCCCCCCTAGAATGTCCACTCCGTGAGGGCAGGACTTGCTCTCTGTTCACCACTGTCTTCCCAGGACCAAGGAGGGAGCGGGGCATACAGCAGGTGCTTGACAAAAGCTTGCTGAAAGAATGAGTGAGCAGGAACCTCAGGCCTCTAAGAATAATGATAATAATAGAGGCTACCATTTATTAAGCGCCTACTGTGTACCAGACTCCAGGGTCCATGAAGGCAAGGGCTGTATCTGCTTTGCTCGTTCTGGATATTCTGCGACAGGCTGACATATGGGAGGTGCTCAGTAAATGTTAAATGTTCAGTGCTTGCATGTTATCCCGCTTGTCATCCAAACATGATGGGAGGGAAGAGATGGGAGAGGCTGCAGGGACAGAGTTTGAGCCTCTCTTTTATTTATACACACACACACACACACACACACACACAC